ATCAAACACGCATTACTACTTTGCAGTTAAATATTTAACATTTATTCCAACACGAAAAAAAGCAGTAAATAACACTTATATAATATAATATAATATAAGTGTATTTATTGAGATGCCCCTATGGACCTTGTTATAGGAGGTAAAGATCAGGAGAAGTAAACATGAAGTGTAATTATGAATACTGATGTTAAATTAAGCTATGATGAGTTTTCACTGTTAATTTACCATCTCAATTAAATGTTGATGCCTCCATGACCAAGTTAAGCAGATGAGACTGAGGACAACTATGTAGAAGAAAGGATGTTCACTTTGCCTAATATGTAGCTTGACAGAGTTCTCCATGTGTGCCCTGGTGTTCTCATGTTTCCTTACCTCCTCATCCCTCACTCCCTAACTGTCCGTGCTGGATCTGTCCCCGTTGTTTTAAAAAGCTAACTAAGTTATTAGCATGACGTCATCCAGCTAGCCAAACCTGTCTGGTGTACAGCTAGTACAGAAGCTTCACATGTACTGCTTCCCTTTCCTGCTAGTCTGCTGTCTGATTGTGAGGTCAGGCTGATCTTATATCAGCTCTTTGGTCTACAGAATCTCCGCTAAAGTTCTCCTCTCAAACGGGTCTTGGAGGAGTAGTGCTCGCGCTGGCGCTCGCGCTCGCCTGTAGAGACTTCTCCTGACGAGAACGCGCAGCTAGGGGGTCAAAATCTTTTTGGCCCCACACTGAATCTATTTGAGGGCGCTGATTGGCTAAATTGTATGTCACTCATTTATATCTTTAATCAGCAATTGGCTAAACTGCTTCATAGACCCGCCTCTTTTGGGCAAAAACGATTTGGCCCCCCTAGCTGCGCGTTCTGAGACGTGTCGTGCACACAGGCGGAGAGGACGAGCAGGAAAAGCATATATTTTGCGCAGATATCATATTTTACACATATTACTGGGTACATTCCATAGTTCAAAAACACAAATATCGACAATTTGTATAATTTATGATTATTTTTTCTTTTTTGTGTGGCTCAAGGTGGGGCCATGCCCCATTGCCCTCTATTGACCAGCCACTGCACAGGAGAAAAAAGTGCCAATGACCACACCGTTATCGGCAGAGGAAAGCTTGGAGAGGTTGGACAATGTTATCTTGTTGTTAATGCGGAGCCGCTTTCCTCATGTCGCAAAGGCAGGATGGGAACTCTGACAAGGGATCCTGATAGGGAGCCAACACTAATTGAGGGGTGTGCGAACCGCCATTAACAGGCATTAATCAGTGCAGCCATGCGTACATACACGCACCTACACTAAAATGTGATCTTGCACACAACAATGACAAAATGTGTTTGTTGAAAGCATCCTTTCAGTGAACTCGTGCTCTTGGTGTGGCCTTGGGAAAATTGTGCATTACAGGCATTTGTGTAACTCAAGTCTGCTTCTTCTTTTGACAAGGCACTACTTTTTTGACCAAAATTACTGTGTAACAACTATCTGGGCACGTTTCTTTCCCATCGCACTACAAAATGGTTAGTTAGCAGTGTGAGAAAGAGAAACAAGGTAAGGAGCTCTTGTCCTTGGCTGTAACATTTGACTGATCCATACTTAACGAGTAAAGTTAACCGAAATACTTTAAGATTTGCTGCTTTCAACTTAAACATAAGTTTTCTCCCTTCAAAAAAAATAAAAATCCCAGTCATTTTCGGTTAAAACCTTGCACACACGCACTCATAAGAAACATGCGCCCCCCCCAACATGACTTTGCGACATTGACAATAACTGACCAGCGCTGACGTAACTGAGGGGCTCGTGGAGGGGGGCGCTAAACGCATCATATGACTCTAGTCAGAACACTTCTCTGTCAGTTTAATGAAGTGCGACGCATCAGAGAACAAGTCCATTTTAGTCACCACGTTTTTTTCAAAATGTTTGCAGTGAAATAACAGCCAACACATTAATAAGCATATCCTTCTATAACGCGGGGTTATCAAAAGGAGAATATAGCTTGAGTAAACACACCGCCAGGTCACATTAAATCTCTCTATTGAACAAGCTCAAACCATTTTCTCATAATGGAGCTGCCTGCCAAAAATAACCAGCAAGCCGACAGCTCATACGGGGCAAAACGACAACAAGAAGACACATTCAGCCGAGAGCGCAACTGCGCAGCCAACACATGAAAACTCAGCATCACACGGACATCCAGAAATCCTCCATGCTGACTTTTAGGTAACTGGAACTCAACCGGACCCTCACTTTCTCTCTCCGCGGGCTCACAGACTGTACGGGCTTACCTTGTTCGTTTTCCCGCTAATCATATCCTCTGGTTTTCAAGAGCTGCCCCTCATTCTCAGAGGAGACCCTCAATAACATGGCCTGCCACTGCGATAACTTGTTTTCTTTTGCTCCGGTCCAGCCCCTCCGTACAGGGGCTGTTGGGCGGAGCTACACGCGTCTGAAAAAGCATGTGTGGAGGACAATTACTGGGATTTCAAGCCCCCTCCCACCTGATTGACCACTCTCTGGAGGGGAGCGTAAGGATACTGGATCTGGATTGGCTGAATTAAACACTGATATTCCCTGGAAAATAAAACCTCTGGTGTGATTTAAGTTATTACCGGATCATCCCCCTTCATAGTATCTTTTAATTTTTTCACATCATATCACATACCTTTACAGTATTTTTTTTTTATTGAAACTTTATTTATACAGGTGATCACATTAAAACGCCAGGTGTTGTATTCTCAAGAGAGAACTGTGCAACAGCGATACCACACAAAGTTACAGAGAGACAGCAACAAGTGATGAAGTGCCAAAGTGGTAGTAATACATGAATGATATGGCCGAGCAATATTATGGTCATAAGAAGTTCAAAACATACAAATATAAATAACTGTTAACCACAGAATCAACCCCTTTTCCTTCATAACAAGGTCAAAACTGTGGTAGTGGATCTGGGTGTGACTCGGTCATAAAATAGGCCTTAGCATGTAAACAAACATGTATCCAGCTCACACACACACACACACAAATATTGAGGCGTTTTTTAAATTACGGGCCTTGTGTGCACGAGGTGGCTCCGGGGCCTCCTCCTCTCCTCCTACAGTATAACACCACCATTATTACATGTGTAACAGACATGTTGATGTCAACGAATAGTGCATGAACGTAATGCAGTCCGAACGAAAGGTGTCTTAGTCAAGACACTGTAGCTCAGTGGCTCTCTTAATAAATCTTTTTTTTTTTTTTCAAATGACCTCGACCTGATCTACTCTACAATCTGACCCCGTAAAACCCTGCTAACTGATGGTTGGGAGTCCTTGTTCAAAGGTCCCTCCCTCATCTTGGATGCTGTCAGCACCCCTGTTCTCTCACATCATGCCCCCCAACACACACACACACACACACACACACACACACACACACACACACACACAGATGTGCCTTGATCAACATGCTTGGACACTGCTGGGTAGTGACTAGTGTGCTAGTAGCAGCACCAAGTGGTGGAATAAGAGAAAGCACCAGGTGAGGTATGGTCTTGACAGTTTAAACATGCCTTCTCTGTAGCTTGTGAGTGTCGTCGGAAACCTACAAACATCTAATAATGCAGTGATAGATGTTTGAAATTAGCTTGAAAACACTAATAAAGCAACTTTTCTTTTTCTTTTTTAAAGGCAAAACCAGCCTGAGATTGATGATATACATCTTTGCGTCCTTACCAAGCTTTCTGTGCATGCTAACTGCTAACAGCTGTGTTTACACTCCACATACTCCATACTCCATGTGTGTGCGTGGACGTTCATTCCCGTTGAGACTTTTTGTTTGTTAGCCCGCGATATTCCCCAGCTTCAGACTCCCTAATGCACAGAGCATTACTTCTGTCTATTGCCTTGATCCCCAAGTCGCTTCCATATGTGTTGGATCGACGTGCAGGTACAGCACATGTGAAATATGACTGTAAGTCACGACCCCCCCACCATCCCCCTCAAACAACACATGCAGTAATGCAGTCCATTCCTTTCGCTCATAACCCGAGAATTTCCGGCTCATGACAGAAAAAAGGGGAGGGGTTGGGGAGTTTAAATGTTTCTGGAATTCTTTTGCTCCCTTTTCTTTTGGATTGTTACAGGGTGAGGGGAGGGAGATGAAGAGGAGAGCGTTGGAAGAGGGGGCAGGGATGGAATAAGAAGCAAGGTGGTAGAAGCCAAGGTAATGGGGAGGGCCATGGAGGCCACATGAAAAAATACAGAGAGACAGGAAACCGGTACTTGGGATTGGAATGAGTAAAGTGGGGGAGGGTCGTTTTGGAAGAAAGATGGAGATGAGGAAAGAGAGAGGGGGATGCTTTTGCAGAAACACGGAGCGAATCCAGAATCAAGCTTCCTCTGCACTTAGCTAAAAGGCTGAAAGGCCGCGGTCAACGTCACGAAGCAAGGCACTTGGTGTCGGTAATTGCTGGGATACCAGGTGTCTGGAACAGGGAATTTGGGAAGTGGAAGGACTTGGATCACGCATGGAGATAAAGAGGTGGACTGAGTGGGAGACGGGGCGAGTGGAAATGAGGGGAGGAGGAGGCTAGAAAAAAGGGGGGGCCGCGTGGCTCGACGAAGGATCGTGTGGGACAGCGCTACGCCAAACACTGATAAGGTGCGGCTGTTGAAGGAGCGAAAGAGCGAGAAAAGTAGTCGGCGAGACGCTGACGTCACAGTTTGTGCCAATGAGGTCAACAAAAATCCTTTCTGTAGGCCCAAAAGACATTACTCAAAACTGGGGCAAACGTCAAGTCATTTTTGAGTGTAAGAGAAGAAAATATCCCGTGCATAGTTTGCCGCGAGGTGTTGCTTTTAAGGGCGGTGCTGGGATTTGTTGTTTTTTTTCTTCCCCAGACTTTCCGAGAGAGGAAATGGTTTATGTCTTTCTCTTTTCCCTTGATCAGCTTTCATCTGCTCGCCCGCTACACACAACAACAAGCATTCCTTTAAAAATCCTTTTCAATTTGTGGTCCGATCATTGTTTTCAATCTAGTCGGCCACCCGCTGAGTCCGGAGTTTACATAAGAATTCATCTTTTTGTGTGTGTGTGAGAATCGCCTCTATATTTAACCCTAACCGGTCAGTGCTCCTTCCTGTGTTGGGTGTGTGTTTGTAGTGAATGCCTGTGGCTCAAGGCCTCAGTATTGGTCACGGCCAATCTAAACTTTGTTGCTCATGAGAAATTACAAGGAAGCTGGACAAATACACATAAAACCACTGTCACAATGCCAGTTTTCTATGTATTTCTAGAGTCAACAACACAAAAAGAAAACAGAACTAGTGGGATTGCGAAATTTTACTATAGTATTCTCAGTGGTACAAACGGCGTGTTGAAAGAGTAGAATGAACTTAAACTTGTAGATCATTAGCATAATAAATAAGCAACGTTAGAAGCCATAACACTTCCTGTAGAGTTAGGAACAAAAGCAGTATAACTTTACAGAAAAATAAATCAACATATCACCCCTGAACTAGACTAAAGCCACACTTCCACCGCCTGGTACGGCACGACTTGACTTCCTGTTTATTGGTTTTCCATTAGCAAAAATTGTGGATCATAACACCTGGTCTGGTACTTTTTTATAGTGCCACCTCTGTCCCACTGGTCAGAGAGAATCGTATTTGCGAGACACGAGACTTCCCAGCATAGAATCCCGCGCACACTGAGAGGGTACTAATCGCAGTGAAAAAAACTAATTATAGAAAAAGGACCTGGCACCAAAAGTCAGTTGAATCAAGTCGGAGTCGAACCATGCGACGAGAGCAAGACATGAGATTCTACAGCTGCGCTAGCGACTCTGTGAGGCTGTGCTCAGAAACAGCAATGCTTTGCGCTAAATGCTAACGCCAGCATGCTAACGTACTTACAGTGACGACGCTAACCCCCCGAATGTTTAGCATGCACAATACTACGTTAACCGGCTGAGTTTTAGTGTGTTAGCAAGGTAGCACTAGTTAGCACTAAACACATTTCATGGCAATCCATCCAATAGGTATTTCAGTCAAAACCAAAAATGTCAACCTTAAGGTTGCACGAGAGGAAAAGTCTTTGGATCACCAAAGTCATTAGGGCATATCTACTGAATATCATAGCAATCCATCATTTAGTTGATATTTTAGTCTGGACCAAAGTGGTGGATCGGCTGACAATGCTATCTGCTAGCGTGGCTAAAAACACCCTGCCATTCCACAGCAATGGAGGCAGTGCTAGAGTATGTTTTATATTAGAATTCAACTGCCGAGTGATTCCGTTAGTGACTCTTGGACTTGAGCCACACTTGGCCGTGACGTGGGGGAAGATATTCATACTTAACTGTCAATGCCAAAGTGATCTGTTTGTTATAACACACAAAAAAATATTTAAAAACCTGCATCATTCGACACAGATTGGCACTTTATTTTTCAAAGAGAACCATATGAACTATCGTGTCCAACCACCAGAGACTGTTTATTTCAGGAACCCATTTTTAGAAAGTTGTTTATTGATGCTCAGCTACTCTCCGTCAACAGCTGTCCAAGAAGCATTGGACGGTGAGGCAGTGAGGCCTATTCTAAGGGCACAGAATGAAATAAACAAAAAGAAAGAAAATAATATTGCTGACACTGGAGGATGTGTTTGGACCCCACCCTGCAAACTGCAAACATATATACAGCTCTTACGCACAAAAAACATCCCTTTCCCATGTTCCTGATATAACATCATAACATTATGTAATCACACTGAGAGCAGCGTGTGGATCATTTCTGTTGCCAAGTGTTTCCAGCAAGCAACTTGGCATGAGTTATGTGTGTTTATGGCGTATACCCGGACATATAGGAATTTATGTCAAGTCACATTCTGGTGTCACAACTACGATTGTCTGCAACTCCATGGAAAACAACCAAAAGTCATAAAAAAAGAGGTGGAAAAGAACTAGTTAATGAAAACAAAATGAGCATAAATAGATGAGAGGACATCTCCTCCTCTAGGATGATGGGTGGGATCCGACTGGTTCCCACACCCCTGTAGCGGGGTCAGTCACTACGGGATGATGTCGTCCAGAGGGCTCCACATTCCCACGCTGCTCGGCATGTGATATGGAGCCACTGGGACTGTGGTGTGGTGCAACCGAGCATGCACGCACACACACATTTAGAAAAATGCACGCAAACACATTTAGATAATTCACACATCTGGATGCGAAAGCCACAGAGACTCATGTGTCCGTATGTGCTTCCATGTGATGTAAACTGGTAGACCTGAGGTCAAGGATGGCAATGTCCTTTTGGTGGCTAATGGCAATTTTACGATGACTCCGGCCAGCTAGCATGCCTCTGTTTACACAGCGGTAATTCCCCAGCAGATGCCGAAGGCTGCCACAACAGTGCCATTGTGTCTGCACAGATGTGAGCTCAGCTGTGGTCATCCGCATCATCTTGTAAATCAAGGGGTCGAACAAAACACACACACACTCCTTGTAAGGAGATAAACAATCCCTCTTCAAACTTCAGATGTCCCGCACATGTCCATGAGGCATATGTAACGTAAATAACATCGCATTGAACTTTGACATACCCAGTTCTTCACTATTGATTCACACTTAATTTTGGTTCCATAAAAATGTGAAGCATCATTTTGTTTCAAACTGAAATCAACTAAGGCGAAAACAAAATACTCAAACGTGCCTGCTCATCTGCTAACAAGAGGTACGTTGTGAACTGAAGCGTCATTCCTTCACCTTCTGTGAGAATGCCATAAATTGAAACATTTATGGCAGGGGAATTCAAAACATTCACCCCAAACATGTATTCTTGGAGATCTGCATGATTATCAATTGAAATAAAACTTATTTTTCAAAATAAAAAAACGCATTATTGGATATCATTGGATTAACTTCAACACACCAACCTTCAAAATTGTATCAAAAGAGAACTCCACTGATTTAGCATTGGTTGGATTTACAGTTTCACAAAAGTATCAAAATCTATTCAGCAGAGCCAGAGATATAGTCTTTTTTATTCCACGTATTCTTATTCCTTGTCAAAACTTGTTGCACACATTACCCACAATTCAACTAGCTTGCCGAGAGTTTGGTCGCAAATTTGCTATGCTAGTAGCGACTGATGTAGCCTCTAGCTGCTAGCCACGAGCTGCTCCACATCATCACTTTTTTCTTTTCAATTTATCAGATTTCACACGACACAGTCGGCAGAAAAAATGTTGGCATTGGACATTTCTGCAAACAACAGGATAAGTTGATTGTCGACATTTCTGAACCAAAACAGCGTTTCAAAAATACGCTTCAAATCAGCCTCACATCACGCCTGCAAAAATGCACAATGCCACGTGGTTAACCTGAAACGATTGGTTGGGTTTAGGCAACACAACTGCTACGTTGAAGTTAGAAAAAGGATTGTGTTAAAATATAACATAACAAGAGTAAAACTGTAACTACCATAAATAAACAACCGTCCGTAGCGGACTTTCTTAAGTAACGTTGCGTAACAAACATAACAATGTTATGTAAAAAAACATAATGTCGCTGCTTGCATTTGGTTTAACACGGGACATGAACAGCAGTCTCCCGGATCAAAGTCCTGTGTTTGTTTACACCCCGTATCTTTCAATCACAGTTGCTCAGTATACTGCGTCACTTGCTCTGACCGAGTGCAAAACACATGTGCACTACTACTGTCCAACACCTGTAAAGAGATTCATCTATTTTCCCTTAAATGTACCTTTGATCAACAAATAGCACTCTGTGCCATGCGATGTCCAACAGCACTGACTACAAACGCCCAATCACTGTGGACATGTTTATCTAGAATGCCATCACACACTCACGTGAACCCCGCATGCACACTGACCTTCGTCAGCCTCATCCTGCCACTCTCGCTCCTCTCCAGACTCCTTCTTTTCAGGGACGAGCTTCTAACCGCCACCAGTTGTTGTGCCTCGTCCTCCCCGCACCAGTCCGAACTCAGGACGCAACCCATGTAGATGGACGGGGGTCCTGGACTCTGGACCCTTTTTTTCCTCCTCCTCTCTGTCCTCTAAGCAGGCTCCAGCTCTGGGGCAGCTGTTTTTGTCAGCTGGAGTTGGAGGACAGGGAGGTCCGTCCCCCTTTTCCTGGCTCTCGTTCAGCCCCGCTGCAGGGACAGAGGGAAGGGGAAGGATACACGCTCTCGATCACCCACCACCCTTCTCTTTTTCTACACACACTTTGAAAAACACCTCTCTCTCCAACTTCGTCATGCTGCAGTCACATGTGGACTCCTCATTTTTTCTGCCTCCGCCCCCCCTTCTCTCACGGTGCTTTCTTTGTTTCACACACTTAAGCTCCCTACTTTACTTTTTCTCTCTCTTTTTTTGTTGTTATTGTCAGTCGATTGCACTCACTACATCCCCCGGGACGCAGGCGCATGACCCTCGACTCGAGAAAGTCAACGCTCAAGGATCCTGCTTCGCTCTCCTTCTCCTTTTGCGTCTTCGCCCTTTTCTCTCACTCTCCCCCTCCTGTTGCTCCTCTTCCTCTCTCCCAGTCCTCCCATCCCGAGAACACAAGTCTCTCCCCTTTCCTCCTCTTGTTCTTGCTCTCTTGCTCTCTCTCTCTCTCTCTCTCCTCCCTCTCCCACCTCTCCACTAGGGTTGCCTCACTCTTACATATACAATTACCTCTCTGTTCTCACCCCCACCCACCTCTCCTCAGCGGTTTCCTGCCCCCCACTACCCCACCCCCAGACACAGGCAGAGTCTCCTTTTAGCTTGGCGTACACATTGTTGGTATTGTCCAGAAAACCAAGAAAACCAAACAGTGAGGGCAGCTGTTGGGATGCTGGGCAAACCAGTGATTCAGAGCGGGCCGGGCCCTTCGCTGGCCTGAGCCTCCCCATTGTTTACCATGTTGCGAGTGTGAAACAAGCTCTCTTTCACCACAGAATGTGTGCACCTAACATATTACAAAGGATGGTAGAAGTTGTACCAAGGCATGTCAGAGGCATCCTTGTCTTTTGTTTTTGATGATTTCTGCCCGAATAACGGAGAAGGATTTCAAGCACAAAGAGGCCCTGTGGATGTTTAATATTGCTAAAAGTGTAAGAAACATTAGCGTTGCTCAAGTTTCTCCTCCTCGCCGGCCTCTTTGCTGTTGTTTATTTCTTCTCCCTAGAGTGGTTTTTGGCCACTGTGCCAGAGCTCACGAGGCCTGGACGAGTGAGACTGTACCCCTTAAAAGGCAAATTCTTGATGCGGCTCCAAAGGCCCCCCCTTCTTTGTGTTTCTCCTCCTTTCCCCGCTGTGACTCCCTCGTTCCTTTATTTCCCTCTCCTCAGACAGAAAGCAGCAGCGAGGCAGTCTTGTTGTTACAGGCACTTTGCCCCAGACAGGCCTTCCAGGTGTCCTTCCTTTCACTCCCTTCCTATACATTACATTACAGTCATTTATCCAAAGCGTCTTTTATCCAAAGCGACTTACAATTCAGATTCTATCATACCGTAGGCACAGCTACGGGGTTAAGTGTCTTCCTCAAGGACACATCGACATGCGAGTCGTGGAGCCGGGGATCGAACCGCCGATCCTGTGATTGATGGACGGCCCTGCTCTCCACTTAGCCACAGTCACCTATACCCTACCATCAATCCATCCCTCCCTCCTCCCACTCACCCTCTGCCCCAGTCCTGTTTCTCCCAAGGCCCCCCTCCAGTTGACCTCAGCCCCACCTTTTCCTTTGGCCCCCCTCCATGTTTGTCTTTCAGGCAAGGTCTCAGACATGAGCTCAGGCTGCAGACAGCATTTAGCACCCCCCCACTGGTTTTACATGCCATGAAATTAACTCCTTCTCATCAACTCTGGTCAATAATCCTGCTTTTGCATCTGGAAAGTATAGAGAAAGACGGGAGAGCCATTATCTAGGCCTACCTCCAAATAAGATTTGATTAGGAAATATGGTACTAATACTAAGTCTTTTTGGGCAAAGATATGGCTGCATTCCGTTGCAGCATATTTGGCCCCTGTTAGGAGTCTTGGCAGAAACCAGTTTCAATCTGGATCAGTGAAGATTAAGGAGAGTTTTCCAGGAGTTTTAAGGAGGAATGGAGGGAGAGAAAGGATGTCATCTTAGAAGACTATAGAGAGACAAGATAAACCAAGTCCAAATATGGAGAACACAGAGCAGTGTCGCAAGGTAGTGACCATGGGTCACTCTGTGACCCATGGTCACTACCTTGCGCATGGTCACTACCTTGTCACAGTGCACACTAGTTACCAGTCAAGAAGCACACAGTTTATGTAGAACAAGCAAATAATCGCTACTTACTATTTTACCAAAGCTAGAGGGCAACGGACAAATACCAAGATTGCGATGGCCAAAAAGAAAAATGGCAACGAATAAAAAAACTAAACAAACAAGATGGGGATGCTAGAAACCGAGATGGCGATGGCCCAGTTTTTAAGTCCAGGCTTTAAAACTGCATTCCTGTGACTATGCATTTCTTATATACAGTCTATGGTTCTTCTTTGTATACAGACATTTTTACGGGGTGGCAACTGGAATCACTCTCATCAGCTCGTTCTTCTTTCAACGCATTGTCGGATGGGCCCCGATGCATCTGCCTTGCATGCAATCTCTATATTTACGCCCCTGAAACAGGAAGAAAGAGAAGGGATGGTGCAATCTGAAGACACAAAGGAGTACAGAAATAGTTGTGACGATGTTGGGGATGATGCTACCCAGACAGTCTACATATGTCAGAACATCTTTGACTGAAGATCAAGTTGATGACTTCCATCATCTCCGATGACACCTTCCCGAAGTTGTAAAATAGTCGTGTGGTGTGGCCACGTTAACGTCTCTTCATGACAATCAACCCGCTCGCACCATCTATTTGGCCTCTTTGCTGTGTCCAAGCATCTTATTTTGTGGGTCAGTCTTGAACTACACCATAACTTCAGGGTTGGTGTTGGATGTGCACAGCAACAACACTTTTTAGGCCACAGACCAAGGACAGTCATGCCAAGGGTCAAGCTCACATCTCATCAAGCATGAGACCCAAAGGATTTTTTTTAAACAGCACAAACTTAAAAAAACCTAAATATACATTTAAAAAAATCATATAAAATAAACCAACAAATTGCATCAATCAAAGAATTTTCATTCAATGCTCAAATTAACCTTAAAACTTCTGTTTTTAAAATCTTGCATGCTTATAAAATAATCTAGTTTAAAATGTCTCTGTAGTTTATACTGAGAAGATGGTCCAAAAACTGTCAAAGCACTTTCAACAAACAAGGTGTCAGTTTAGGTATGACGTACTCAATTTGTCCGCATGATCGAAGGTTGCAGCTGCTGATAGTTTTAGGAGTCAGAAGAGAACATAGATAAGGAGGCAGTACGTCTAATATGGCCTTATATAGAAAAAGTACCAATGTTCCATCCTGCGGTTGTAAAAAGAGGACAAACCAACCTTGTCATACAAACTGCATTGTTGTGTGCATAGACCTGAATCAAAGACATTTTCAAAGACGATGAACCGGCATGCATATATGATATCAGCATAATCAATTGCTGATAGAATTGTTGCTTGAATTAAATTTTTCTGTTACACCCTCGATATGATGTTTAATACATGAGAGCTGTGTTTTTCTGGTTTTGTCTTGGAGTTGGTCTGCCCTTAGTGGGCAACAATAACTTAATGCAGATTCAACATGTAAAGGATAAAGGTGGTGATATCTATCTTGTAGTCAACAAATCCCACCAAAAGACCAGAACCACTGACCACTGAGTATCCAACGCCTGATATATCTTCTTCCTCTGTGCCGTACAGCTCCACTGATGTCCAAAAGCTATTGAAACACATCAGTGAGCCACAACTTTTACATGCAACTAGTACAACAACTGTGTATTCAAGGAAATTATAAAAGAAGGAAGCGTCATTACGTAACTGTGTAACGTGTCAACATTGGTGCCGAGCATATTGCCAAAATTTTAACACATTTTTTGCACAAAATTTGAGAGTTTTGTGTGCATAGAAAAAGTCTCTTATTTCAACTTGTACAAAATGGGAGCAAAAACAAAGGATGTGCCTTAATGGTTTTGTTCAGTGCATATGAGGGCGGCAAGGTTTTTGCTCATATGCACCAAGGTCAGGGACATTTGTGACTGACGTCAGATTTGACACAGAGCACTCAGCGACTACAAAAGCCGGAAACAGAGTGTTGTGATCTGAAAGGCTTCTGCCTTAGTCAGCACGGAAAATACGAGGGGGAAACTGAAATATAAGAGCTAAGCTAGGCTACAAATTCATCCAAATCCTCTGGCTGATAGGGTCCGCCGCTGCATTCTCTTGTCTCAGAGAATAAAAACCCTCTTCCAGTAAATGTGCACTGTAACTCTCCAGCAGGTTACAGTAGTATTCTGAAGGAGGCTACTGCCTTGTTTAAAAATGTATAAAGCTTTCAGTTAAGCTCAAAACTCTGGTACTCTTTGTCAGTTTGAACATAAAGAAGTTGCTTGGCCCATTGGTCTTTCATCAAGTAAACTTCCAGTGTTCACACGCAGCGCCTGCACCCCCATCTTAAAGACAGTGCTGTCTTCAATGGCTCACGTAAACTGGTTACCCAAGGAGAACCGAATGGCACTAATGTCAGTACGGCATGAAGCATCAGACATCCCAGCAGGTGTGACACGACAGTGTGATCTCTTGGTAAGCGGTATGAATAGCACGCCACTTTTAAGGGCTTTTTAATCACTTCAGCAATTTAACCAACGGGTCTCACTCCGAACTTGTCACATACTTGTCATTGTATACATAAGCCTGGATATGAGTCAGCATTTTTGTACTTCCGGTTC